TGGCCATTTATTGATTTTTGTAGGCGGTCGAACAAGAGGCACTTTTTTATGGACTTTTGCGAGTTGCCAAAACAAAACAATGTCGAAAATTAATTTTTCAAAAATAATTTTGATGGATAATTGATGGACAAATGATGCGACGATGCGACAGGTGCGATGAGTGCCAGAAATGAAGGGCCATCGGTTGGGAAATAAAAATCAAGTTTAAATCACAACAAAATAATTAACACGAAAATACTGTTTGGCCACGAATAAACGAAGAGTTACTTGTTTGCTGCTGGCTGGTCGCTCAACTTTCCTAAAGGTTCCGGTAAACCGGTTTTCTTTTTCTTTCTTTTTGTGTAAAAACGATTTTCAACTGATTCGAGTCTGGGGCAACACATTCTTTGGACCATCTTTCTGCTCTCTCTGCATTCTGTCTTTCTCTTGTGGCATTATAACGCCGTTTTTCGCTTACGCCAACGTTACGTGTCCGTTAGCACTCAATAAGAATTTTCTTATGGCGTCAAATGTTTCAATTCTCCACTGACAACACAGACTCGAAATGTAATTCAATTTTCGGCGAAAGAAAGTTGAATGAACTCCTCCCCTTGTTGTAGGGGGAACAAGGTCGTTGCGAATGCACGAAAAGATTAGGGTGCCCCGGAAAATGTTTACTTTTATTTGAGTTGCTCCTTTTTTCTTACTTTATTAAAATTAATTGAATCAATGTCAATCACTGGGAATGTTGAAAAGGAAATTGTGATTGTGATTGGGTTCAATCAAGATAAATGTTTGGCAATTCAAGTTTTGCTTTGGCTTGAATAATTTATGTGGGAATTACGATTGCTGCGAGTCGCTGCTGTGTCTTGGCTCTTTTGATTTTGAATAAGTAATCGGGGAGTCGTCTTAAATGAATTAAATTAAATTAATTGACATAAATAATATACACATAGAAATAGGTAAAAGAATTACAAAAGTTTTGCGGTGCATCATCTCTATGGATACATTTCTTAATTTACAATTTTTACTGAATGTTTCACTTTCATTGGATTTAATTTCTCTCGTTTGCATTGTTATCGCCCATTTAACCATTTGTCTGTCTCCCGCCCTGCCCCGTTACATATTCCAATACACCATTCACCATTCCAATAAGCCATTTCTCTCTCACGCAGCTCAAATACATTTTTCTTTACTTTTGTCTCGGGCAAACTCCCCGCGCAAACACCAGCTCGCTGCCACACCTGCCTGTCACACTCGTCTTCTCCTTCTCCTTCTCCTTCCGTTGCTTCTTGGTTTCGCATTATCTTTTATTTTGGTATATTCTGTTTTCCTTGTTTGCATATTGTGCACTTTTCGTTGGCTCGGACCAAGTTTTTCCTGCTTTAGCATTCCAATTTCTGTTGATACGAAATAAAATATGTTTTATGGATTAGCCTTAACCAAGACAGGTATGTCGTTTGGGCTTGTAGGTTGCATGCATCCATTCACTGGTTATCATATGAGCAGAGCTTAGCGTCTTTGTTTTTCATTAAACAAATATCGATTCCCTTTCTACTTCTAGAAACTACTATAAAATAACTTGACATTATGAAAAACAAGCGCTAGTCTAACTAGTCTTTGCTTTTAGGGTATCCCACATTCGCCATTACCTACCTGCCTTTCGTCTTCGGTGCCTGCCGCCTGGCGGCTCTTCTCTCTCTGCTGGTGGCTTTTGTTACTTGCGAACGAATCATCTGCTCTCAGCTGCCGGAGCAGCTTGAAATCTTTTGATGGCTCAGCATTTACATTTCATTTCGGATTGGAATTCATTTTTTTTTTGTTCAGCTTCTCTTTTTGTGGGTTTCTGGTTTTTTTGTGTGGTGTTGGTGTGGTCTCTTTTGTGCTAGATTTATTTCCAAACGGCGCTGCGCTTTTTATAGCCCCAACAAACGACGGACTGATTGGCGGCCATGAGATGACGGTACTGGAATGAGGTGAAGGAGGCGGAGGAGACGCACATTTTCTTTGTCGTTTTGAAGGCTGTTTGTGATAAGGACTTTGAATAGTTTATTTGAATCCTAATTGAATGCATTCGTGCATTATTGATTACACACTAATTGATACCGACCGCAAGTCCGAAACCCAAACCAATCCAAATGCAAACTGGCAAAATAAATTACATTTTATTGCAGTTGCCTGTAATTATGTTAATTTGGCAAATTTAATGGCCCACTAGCACCTTGTGTGTGTGTGTGTGCTTGTGACAGCTTTCAGGTACAGATACAGCTCGCAGTTAAGAAAAATTTAAGTTACAAATAATTATACGCGTATGACTGACTGGCTTTGAACAAGGAATGGGGAAATGTGAGATGTGAGTTGCTGATGGGCGTGAAATGAGTCAAAGACTCTCCACTCCAGAAAAAGAAACGTCAAAATAATAAATGATTTTTCATAGACTGGCCTTTGGGGCCTCAGAATCTTCGGGAAAGTGTCTGCTCGATATGGGAGGAATATGAAAAAGCGTTCCAATGGAAAGCCAAATATTAAGGCATAGAGATAATACTACTTCTTATTCTGCTAAGCATCATGATCGGGAGTAATTTATCATTTGATTTGAGTTTAGGAGAGCTTTTGTGCCTACCATTCCATATTACACATGAGTGTGAAAGCTTCCTGCACACGTGTATGTGTGAGAGCATAATAGAAAAGGAAAGAAGTATATCAGCTTAATAATTGTCAGGAGAGGCAAAAAAGCAACATTTTGCAATTAACACACGCGGCATGCTCGGTCGCTCGTTGAACGCGTTCCTCCAGTTCGTTGCGGACGGCGGGAGGCCCGCGGTAGTTGCCGATGCAGATGCAGATACAGAAAATCTCTGCATGAATCTCCGCCGAGACATTGACTCCAATTGAGCAAAGGCAAATGGATGCGAAGGCAGAGGGGAGAGGGAAGGAGACCCATGTGTGGGCTTCATTTACAACTCACTCAACTTTACGTGTGTTTGGAGGCTGGCGAAGGAGAATGGAACTTGGGACTGGGACTGGGATTTGGAGCCTGGAATTGCAATTGGGAGTTCGCCCACAAAGTGCAATGCGTTGTTGTTGATGTTGTTGCCTTCTTCTGCTACTCCTACTCCTACTCCTACTGCGTCTCCCGCTGCTTCTCATCCTCCCACTTCGCCCCACTTCTCCTGCTCCACACCACGCCAGTCGAGTGTCTGAAGTGTCGACATGAAGTCTGACAATTGCAAAAGTTGTTTATGGTAAAACAGAGGTGTGTGTACATCTGAATGCGAGTATTTTTGAGCTTTTGTGTTTGTTGCTGTTTTTTATTCGGCTTTGACATAAAGTGAAAGATTGTGAGATTGAATGTACTCTTGAATGCTCTTGATGAATATTGAATCAGTGCTACCCACAGGCGGCCTCTCAGTCATCATCCGTTCGTCGTTTGCATTAAATTTATCCATTTTCACATGGGGGAATATTTCCTGCACCCCGTATCCAAATGTATTTATATAAATTAGCGCAGAAACAAGTCGAAAACTGTAGATTAGTACGAAAACCGATTGAGCGATGCTCTAATACCCCATCGGCAGCAGATTGGAATGCTCAAACGAGTAAAACTAGTTTGTCTCCATTCTGGCTGTAGTAAATAATCGATTGCAATGGTTTTTAGTGGCTTTGTGTTCCAACATGTGTTGGAAATTTGTTAATTTTTATTCAGCAAAAACAAGAAGCAAGAAAAGAAAACGAATACAAAACACCCTTTTTGCAAGTGCTCCACGCGTACAGGGAGATGATGATGATGTTGTGGTTTCTGTTGATGCATGGCCAAGTAAAGCAAAGCAAAACGATGCAATTTTATGCGCAGACGCCTAAATTGAATGTAACGCGTAGCCGCAGCGGCAGCGGCAGCGACAGCAGCAGCGACAGCAGCCAACGAGGCGTTCTACAAAAGGGAGCCCACAGTTTTACAGCCACTGTGTGGGTACGCACACACACATACACTCTCTCCCTCTCTGTGTCTCTTTCTCTCTCTCTGTGTATGCATGCTCCCTAGGCAGCCTCCTAGGGTCATTAACATGGCCAGCAGAAGCAACAGCAGCAGCGGAGAGCAGAACAGGAAAAAAAGAGGCAAAGAAGCGAAGAGAAGCGGAGAATAAAACGTAGACGAGACACAAAAGCAAATGCAGGGTTAGTGCATGTTGTAGGGGAGTGGGGGTGAAGCGGGGACAGCGGATAAAAACGCGACCCTGGGAGTCACAAAGCGCCTCTGCATTTGTGGGTGGTGCCGCCGCTGCTGCTGCTGTAAGGGATGGGTGGGGGATCAGGAGCTGGAGCTGGAGCTATAGCCATGTCATGCACTCTGCCTGTGATGGAGTTTTGTACTGGGGTCCCCGGTCCAAGGTGTTTGCCAATGCCTATTTCCGCGACTGTTTGTTGTACGTGCCGCGGGGACGATTATTTCTAGACAGCGGTTTGAAAGGGGACGGCTGGAGCCCGCAGGGATGCGAATGGGATACACACACAAATTGGATGTAACACGCTCTGATGGTATCCCATTAATGGATATTAACGAGGGAATATCCTAATGGAAAATAGCCGATAAATAGTTAACGATACTTTAATCAGTGCTTCCTGGGCGAGTGCTTATTTATCTGACGATAATTGAGGCAATAATCGATAATTGTGGATATTTTAAACACAAATTGTTAGACACATAATATAAAATTGGTCTGAAGGAAGCAACAAATTGCTTTAGCCATTGATTTTAAAGACGGAAATTATGACTTAATACATACTTTTTGTTTGTTATTGCCCAAGTGAACAACTGTCTAAACATAGACCATCTCTAGCGCCGTCTCTAGCAGCACTTTGGAACCAGGGAAACTTGGGAAAAGTTGGAACAAATCGAAACAATTTCTCGATGATGATTTATGGCAAAGTGTTTCATGAATAGTTAATCAGCTAAAAACTTTGTTTACGCTACAGCGAGAAAACTTAATTTAATTGTTTTCCCCTTTTCTGTTTCTTTGCAGGTAATTAAATGGCAATTTCTCATCAATGTCATGGCATATTTCACGAAGTAAGTCTCACCCTCCCCATTAATCTATCAAAGGGACAAAATATAGAAATGGACTCCTTTGTTTGCAAATTTATTTTTTGTGTGGTTTTTTTGTTAATTCCTTTGAAACATGAGAACGCACTTTATGGTCCGGGTCCGCTTATAAATAGTTATGACTGTGTGAGCATTATTTAATTATTTCATCATGATGTGAATGAACTTTGATGGCTATTGTGTTACTTTTACTTGGTTCGAGGTCCAAGCTCCCGACACTTTCGCAGACCTCAGAAGACCCATTTCCTGTTCCTAATACCCGCCTCACATGAAACCATTTTCAAGCTTTTCATTTTGCTATAGAACATGGCGCCGAGACGAGAGAATGACCGACTATTAACTCCATTTGCTGACTTTCACTGATAATGTCTGACAATTATGTATTGCTATAGTCGATGGCTTCTGGCTACCAACTCTTTCCCTTCCATCTTTCATGTTAATGACATAATTAAGCCGCTTGTCGCAGAGGTCAGAGGTTCCGAAGAGGGGTCAAGCACGTGTCTTTCAGCCCGTTCAACCCTATCCTTCCAATTAGTATTCAGTGTAGAGAGCGAGGGAAGCTGACACGAACGTGTTAACTCGTCAGGTAAACGGAGCTGTGGAAAAGAACCCATCCCTCAGCCCAGAGACCTCTTCATCCGCATTGATTTGTGTACAGAATTAGCATTTTCCCCCCTCCAGCATGGGAAACAATCTCAATCTCAACAATGAGGAAGACGAATTTGTTCAGTTTCCGCTTGGCCGACTCCTCATCCAACTTCACTCCGTCTCGAAGCAGGCTCTAATGCCTTTTTAAAGTGACCAAAATCTGGCTTGTGCCCCGCGTAAAGTGGGTAAATTAAATGCTGACGCTTGGCCAAGAGGTGGGCCAACCGAAAGATTGGGCAACTTAAACAAACAAATAGTCAGGGGTACAGTACAACTCAGCTAAATGTTGGCTCCGCAAGCTTTATGGGGCATGTCTAAAAGTGCATTGACCAAGAACTCAGTAATTGTCGATCGGAATGGTTGAAATACGAAGCGAGTGAAAGGTGAAGGGAAATAAAGATTGAGTAGGAGAGAGAGAGAGAGAGAGAGAATTGAAATGCACAAATAAAATTGATAGAAACATTTAAACAATTTAATTATGATACCTAGAAAAGAAAGTTTAGATAGACAATCAAATAATAATAAATAAGAATGCATAATTGCATAAGATAACTGCTAAAGCATATTTTATCTTTAATTATAAATTATTTATCAATTGCTTGTTGAACTTTGGCGGATAAGTGATTTTAGGTACTGAAGTTGGAAACAAATTCCAAGTCCGATCTTCCTAAAACGAATGCGAGTAGTATTTAATGACACATCAGTCCGCTCAAAGATCAAAGTTCAAACTGCCAGCTAAAACAAATACCCAATTCGCTACCTAATGGCATTTTTGAGAGCCACTCAAACCCACCACGAATTTTGAATAATCAAAAAACGAATGCCTTGTATTCGCCATTTCCTGCCATCATTTAATTTCGATCGTTTTTATTAGCCATCTACATTTCACATTAACAATAATCGTGTGCCAGAACCAGTTCTCAAACACATTTCATAGCGAAAGTAATAGATTTGATTTAATGTATTCGCAATCACCACAAAACTTTGCTCCACAGTAGCCAAAAATCGAAACACGCCAACAAAAGCTGAAATTGAAATTCGAAATTCAAATTCATCGCGAAATACCAGATTTTGTGAACCACTTTTCGGTGTAAGAGATCGCTTAGTGGATTCCCTGTGTCTTTTCATTGTGCACTGATTTATGAATACACTCGAAGTTTGAGACTGGCTGGGGGGATCTGGGGCGAGTGTGTCTTTTGTCACCGGTATTTTTGGCACTAATTTGACAAGGTCGCCGGCCAGCTGTAGAGCTGTTGTGCTGTGGTCTGGCAGCCGCCGTTTATCCAAAGAAATCACGACACAAACACGTTCGAAATTATTTCATTTTGCATCTAAGCTTTTATTTCGGCTTTTGTTTGTTGTGTTTTTTTTTTCTGTGTGTTTATTTTGCATTTTGGTAGCCCGCCCCTCTGCCGCCTCGCTGTATCTTTGCATCTGCGAGTCTCCAGTCAGCGCATTTAAAACGATATTTGCATAAACATTTGACGTCTCTTGACATAGGTGCGAAATAGTTGCCGTGAAATGTGGTCATTCATATTAATTTAGTGGGTCACTCCACTGTGGCTGTGGCTGTGGCTGTGACTGAAGATGCTGACCCCGATCGTGCGGATTTCCTGTTAGAAAGGCTCTGATTGTTGCCAGTCCGAGAAAAATCTCTTTGAATGGATAATGAATAGTCAAATTTGGCTTCGTGACTGAAACTGGCAGACAATTAACCCTAGAGTTCCTACACAGAGGAGCTCAGAGCTCTCCCCACCTGCTATGGGCGCACTTTGAACCCGTGCAACCCGTGCAACCCGTTGGACCCTTCCCTTTGCTTCGGCTCTCCTTCATTTCATTCGTTATGTAAGGATGATTTTGGGGCGATAACAGCCCAGGCAAAAGGCAAAGCTAATTAAATTATAAGCCAAGAGTCCAAGACTATCCCCGAGATGCGCCAGTGAATGGGGTCACCGCCTTCGTGGCCTTCCCCCCGACCCCACCACACGAAAACTGGTTAAATAATATCCAAATGGATGTTCGTTGTTGGTGTTGATTTGACCATAAATTGTGTATGCTTTTGACGCCGAACCAAGCGACAAACGACCTGCGCCTGCTCCAGCCCCGGGCCGGCCCATACCGCAAATAAATCTCCCAGCCCCAGAGATGAGGTAATGTTGCATGCAACTCTTGTAAGACTCTTGACACACAGTGGGACAAGGAAGCGGCAACTGTATGAAAGGCGGTGCAAGCAAAAGAATATCAATTGATTGAAATGTTGTATTATCTTTTAATTCTTTGAATTATATATTATTTTATGGCATTTGCCTTTTCTACACATACAATATATCGATCCGTTCGATGGCCCAATGCATTCTGTCTAGGTTTCTGGCACATGAAAAGCTTGCACTTCATAATTAATTATTGTTTAAAACGGTACGAGTATTGAGAGTGGCAATTACTTTGGAAATCTAGGTTCTAGTTTCACATGAAATATCTCTACTGTTTGTTCCGTTCCACAAATTGGAGCTGTCCCACCCACTGTGCCTAGCCTGGCATGGAACTCACCCATGAATTATGCGTAGACATTTTTTGGGGGTATGTTTGTCAGGCGTTGTCAACGCTGTTCTTTTTGGGTACTGTCAACCGCACCATTTCGATTGCATTTTATGGCCATAAATAACCCGAATGGCTAAATGAATGATTTGTGGTGAAAAAGGCGGCATCGGAGTGTCGATGGAAGGCCTTGCAGACGTTGCAAATCCCAGGCCAACGATTGCTCCATCGAATGTTAGTTAGATGCTGCACTGGCTAATAATTCGATCAGGCTGCCTCTTTGGACCACTTTGCATACGAGATAGTGCTCTAATAATGGCCGAGAAGAGTCTGTGGTCTGTGGCAGCACGATGGGCGGTCCTCCAATCTCTGCAATGCAATTCAATTAATTAGCCTGGTCAATAGCGGTTGCCGTTTGCAGTAGTTCTTTTCTTATTTTGCTGCTGCTGCTGCTGCTGCTGGTGCTGGTGCTGCTGCCGTTTTTCTTGCCACACGCGTGTGATGAACATTTCCGCTGTGCAACAGCTTCTCTGTGTGTGCTTGCCTCTGTTGCAAGCTGCAATCAAAATTAATTAAGGCACAAATGGAGGCAGGCACAGAAAGAGAACACAGTGGTGTAATGGGTGAGGAGCGGGAAGGAGCGGACTATTTGCATGGGACATGTGGCATTTGCAAGCAGTTGGGGGCATCGGTAGTTAGGCATCTCGCTCGCTGCTGTATGTTTTCTCTATGGCGACCTGCCACTTTATTGCCTTTTACCGCAATGTTGCACCAATTTACATTGCACCTGCAGCGACTCCAACTCCAACTACGACTCCGACAATGTCTTTGTTTTTCCTTCTGGCAGCAGAAGCAGCAGCAGCAGCAGCAGCATCAGGAGCAGGAGCATCGAGTGCATAATTAGATGCTGTGCTGCACGGCCAGTGATTGCTGCTGATCAGTTAGAGGCAACTGGCAACAGGCAGCAGTCAATCATGGAGTTGACTCCGCTGCAAGTGAAGGCTGCCTCCTGATGTGCTGCTCTGTGTTGAGGGTGCATAAATTAATTAAGCCAGATGGCTGGCCAAACTGATGTCTACAGGGATATCGCTGCTGGTCTTTCCTGTTCAAAGGACATATGATACATAACCCTCATCTTCCACACAGAATTACATATTTACGTATGTAAAATCGAAATCAACATAAATTATAATTTATTTAAATTCATTTAATAATCGCTGTCGCTCTCTTCTTTCTGCCTTTCCGACTGAGAGATATTGTTGTAATTGTTGTGAAACATGAAATCTGAGACGGAGAGAGAACTTTCCCATGGATACAGCACAAGGGGGGGAGGAGTGGGGGGAAGCTGGGGATCTGCATCTACAGCAAAGTGAAATGCATAATGAGCATAATGTTGCCGCTGCACGATGCCACAGCAGATGGCAATGCCAGATGCAGATGCGGATGATAATGATAATGCCTTCCAGACGTCGTCGTACAGAGACGACACCTGAGCGAGTGCTGCCTGAGAGCCGAGAAAGACATGTGGACAGGGAGAAATTTGAGAAATGTGAACAGTAATTAAATGCAAAATTAAAAGCGCCAAGCAAGAAGACGTGCGACAGCTACAGCTACAGCTTCAGGCAACAACGTCAGCGACTCAAGATAATGCATAATTGTGGCAGACAAAAGGAAATGTTGCCGAGAGAAGGAACTAGAAGGCTACATGGGGTCTGGGTCTGGGTCTGGGTTTGCATGCAAAATATGAGAAGAATATCTAATACCTGGGGCGATGGATTCGCTTT